TTTGGGTTGTGCATCCTCCTAGGTTGATAATAGTTGCTAGGGGGCCTAACCATATTCATCCTATTTTGAGAAAATATTGGTTTTTGAAAATTCTCTCTTCTAGGTGTCCTAGCATTATTTTGTCTATTTGAAAAATTATTTTTATGCACAAAATCATTTTGATAATTTTTCCTAGGTTGTCTAGCATGCACATTTTCATTCCTAGGTTTTTGTCTAGGTTGTCTAGTGTCCTTAGGTTGACTAGATTTTCTATTATCCTGATTTTTAACTTTCTTGTGTTGAGCCTTAGTAGGTTGTCTAGGTGTATGCTCAACGTTTTTATCCTTAGATTCATTTTTATCAAAACCTATTCTTTCCTTAGAAAAATGCATAGTGTCTAGGAGTAAATTGAGATCCTTGTGTGGTGTATTAAACTTCTTAACCGTACTCTCAAGTTTTGCAACTTTTTCTTTTAAAGCTTTGCAAGATTCACATTCACTTGAAGAGCTTTCCGATTTGTCAGCACTTCTTTTACCATAAAATTTATTTTCTTGTTCCAACTTTTCATTATCTTTTTCCAGTTTTTCAAAATCATTTTCAAGAGTTGAAAGACGTTTCTTTACTGATTTGTTGGTTTTAGAAGCGCTAACAAATTCATCATAAAGCTCTCGAAGAGCTTCTTGCATTTCTTCAAAAGTGTAAGAGTCGAAAGAAGGGGTACATACCTCTTGTACATCGTTGACGTGGTCTTCGTGTGCCATGAGACAGAGGTTGGCGGCTTCTTCCTCTTCTTGATCCCTTGACTCATCCCCGGAGTCGCCACCCCATGAGATGTAGGCGTGTTGCTTTTTTAAGCCAGGTTTGTCCTTGCCGCTTTTGCCTTTAGGACACCTCGGCTTGATGTGGCCTCTCTCACCACAGCCATAGCACTTCGGGGGACCGTCGTGCTTTGTTCCTTTGAGCTCAAATTCCTTCTTCATAAATTTGTGGAATTTCTTGATAACGAGTCCGAACTCATTGTCATCATCGCTTGAGTCTTCTTCCACGGTCTCCTTGGTTTCTTTCAGTGCTATTCCCTTCTTCTTTTGTTCATCCAAAGATGGAGTTAGAATAGTAGATTCATAAGTTTTGAGGTTACCTCTTAGCCCGTCGATGGTGACATTGGAGACTCCGATGGATTCGTAGATTGCGTCAGCCTTTGATCTCCATTCGGGTGTGAGACTCCGCAGGATTTTCCTCACAAGGTCCTTGTTGGCGTACGTCTTCTTGAGAGCGTGAAGGTCGTTGATGATCTTTGAGAACTGATTGAACATGTCATTGATTTTTTCGCCTTCCTTCATCCTGAACATCTCGTACTCCTGCGTTAGGAAGTCAATTTTGGCTTCCCGAACCTGGTCCGTACCTTCATATGTGACTTCCAGCTTGTCCCACATTTCTTTTGCAGTGGTGTAGCAAGAGATCTTGCGATAATCATCAGGATTGACCGCACAGTACAGCATGTTGATTGCCTTGGCGTAGTTCTCCACCTTTTTGATGTCTTCGGCATCAAATTCGTCTTCGGTCTTTGGGACGAGTTTTTCATCGACCTTCTTCATTGGCGTTTCTTCGCCGTTTTTGATGACCAACCACAACTGGAAGTTGGTTGAGCAGATATAAATTCTCATCCGCTCTTTCCAATATGTGTAGTTGGTGCCATCAAAAAGCGGTGGCCTAGAGGTTGATTAACCTTCTCCAATTCCTGCATAAAGATTTCTAGAAGAAGAACCCATGATCGCTTTACTCTCAAACGGTTAAGTTTGGACGCGAGTTAGGCTCTGATACCAATTGTTAGAATAATAGACCAACGCTAGAGGGGGGTGAATAGCGTTTGATCGTAGAAATCGCAGGAATTAAAAAATTAAAAGAGAAGTAAAGAGAAGAGTAAGAGGCACACCGAATTTTACCCTGGTTCACCACAACTTGTGGCTAATCCAGCCTCCCGAGAGACTCTCTTGAGCTACACTACTATCTCGTTAAGCTTGCGGGTGCTTAACAAACCGTTACAACTTGAGAGTTCGAGTTACACGAACCTCAACGAGTCCTTCAAAGGAAACATCCCTTCCTTTGAATCTACCGAGAGAAATACTTTCTCTCAAAGTGTCTAAGAACACGAATACACTCAAGAACGAGGCTCTCTTATATAGTAGATTATGAGTAAACTAAGTACGCTCAAGAACAACTCAACCTCCACACAAAATGGCTCTAGAAAGCTATGGAAAATGATGATATTTGAATGCAATGAAAGTATGAATGTTGTGAAATGAATTGATGTGTAAAGCAGACCCAAACACCCCTTTTTATAGTGCCAAAAAAGGCTCCAACGGACCAATACATTAAAGGGGTGATTGGCTTGATTTATGGGATTAAATAAATTTGGGATCAGCAGGATATTGGCTTCCCAGCGATGTATGGACCTTACCCATCGCTCGTAGGCCAATTTTCCTTCAGTTTTGAAGCCAACGGTCACCTACCCATCGATGGGTAAATGTTTCCCATCGCTGGGTGGGAGGTTGACTTTCAAACAAGGAAATAATCACCCTTAAATGACTTACAACGGTCATGCCTTCCCATCGATGGTTAAGCCTTCCCATCGCTGGGTTCCATCGATGGGTAAAGCTTCTCATCGCTGGGTACGGGCATTCTGCCTTGTGATAATGTTGGACCAAGGCTTTAACAGCGATGGGTAGAACCTCCCATCGCTGTTTGGCATGGTTCTGGAAGTTGGTTTGGCTAAGGGGCCGCTTACCCATCGATGGGATGTTCTTCCCATCGCTGGGTGGGGGGTTAGCCAAAAACCTATGGTTTTTGCCTTAACCACGGCCTAGCCAACCGATGCAAAAACCGACCGAAAAATCCAAAGTTCTCCAAAATAAAAACCAAGTGTTTAAAACACTTATTTGATGTATTTGGCTAAGAAATCAAGTGAGACACTTTAAAAATCACGTCATTTGAGTAAAAACCACGACTAGCCAAGTTTACACCGTTTTGCGTGGTTTTTGTCAAACGACTAAAAGCGAGAGATGGTTTTCAGAGTGTTTTTTGTTGGAGAATCGTTTAAACATGCCAAAGAGTAAAAGCAGATCCTAAAATGCTGAAAACCACTTGGTAGGATCGGATGCCAAAAACCAAACCCGACAACCGAAAGCCGAACGCTGGTTTCTGAAAGCCGAACACTGGATGGCTTGGTTTTTGGTTTGGGCGAACACCAAGTGTTTTTAATGACTTAAACAAGTTTGAAAAACATTTTTATGATGTAAGAAGTGCAATGAGAGATTTTAGCCTAAAGAGCCAAGGTGTAAAGATTGGGTCGATCTTGATCACAATAAAGACCGACTCAATACTATGACTAAGGACTTCGTTCTTGGTCTTCATTTAGCTCTTGCTCTTATGTTCGTTCTTCGCCTTGTATATTCAATGTTCGACTTGATCACGGCGGTTTGGCATTATCAAAACCTGTTACAAAAACGAACACGGCTTTAGTACGAAAACGTGACAAGCCCGTGTTTCAACAAGTGCAACCATGAACGGGTGCACAGACAAAGAAAAGTGCCTCCTTTTCTTCCAAACGTTGCGAAACTGAGTGTAACGCCCCGAAAATAGGCCTATTAGAATTAATTAATTGAAAATTAATTAATTATTTAGAAGGACCCAAAAAACAATTATGTGAATTATAAAGTTTGTCAATAAATAATAAAAACTATATCGTTATGTAGAGTTTAACTGTATGATTCCAACGGATCAATCGGATTTCAATTCAGAGAGAGTTGGACCAAAAAGTGTTCCCCGACTGAGACCAATTTAGTCCCAAACAGGGACTTACGTTTAGAATCGGAGAAGGACCCCAGCCCGCTCCACTCAGCCGCGTAAACAGGGAAACTTTCATCAGCAGCATGGCCTCTTCCTCCATTTCTTCCCTATATAAGACCACCTTCACCCCTTCAATTCTCCACCATCTCATACAATCCTTATATCTATTCTGTTGCTGGGAGTGAGGAGAACGCAGTGGTGCTGTCGTATTGGTGTGAGGTCGCCGGAGTTGGGAGTGATCATCGCCGGAAGTTTCGCCAGAAAATCTTCAAAACCTTTATTTACCTTCGAGGTAATCCCGTAGATATATCTAAAGATTAGAATGTTCATATATGTTGTTTTTACGTTCATAAATGGTCATTTGGTTGAGTTTGTGTTTGACATGTTTGAAGAACCAAGAAACATAAACCTTGAATTTGATGTTAAAAATATGTTTTAATCATTCAAAAATGATCTATAAACTTGGAGAACATTTCTATATATTTTAATTGAAGTTTGGTAACTAAAATTGATATTTCCGAAAATGGACCGAAGGAAGAAGACGATGAACAGTGACCGAAAATCGACTATTATCTTACTAAAAATTGATTAAAACTTCGTTCAGACGAGATGTTTGAAGTCAGTACCCATTTATCAAGAACAAATCGATTATTCATAAAGACCAATTCGATTTTTAATATTTAATCGATTATTCCTTAAGCAAAAATCGATTTTTACTCATTAATGGATTATTTTTAAATCAAAAATCGATTTTATTGATGGAATTGATTATTTTTCAAGCAAAAATTGATTTTATTGATTTAATGGATTATTTTTCAAGCAAAAATTGATTTTTTTATGATTTAATGGATTATTTTAATTATATAAATCGATTTTTATAAATTAATTTATTATATTAAATGAAATCGATTTTCCTAAAGTTCAGATCCTGAAAATATGCTCTAAAATCATATTTTTGATATCAATTAATTATGAACAATATAAATATGAGTTTGTACAATAAAATTGATGTTTTGGCATATAAAACATTATGTGATGCATGACGGTAAGTTCGGGTGTTAACACTCGAGACTAGGCCGCTATTTGTTATCAAATGTTATGTTGAATGATCATTATGATTAATAATTATTATGGATAATTATGAATGATAAACCTACTAATTAGAATAATTATTGATGATTAAATCATGATTAAAAGTGAATAAAAATGAAAATAGTGTATATTATTAAAGATATCTAGAAGAACTCTAAGATATACCCACTTGTATATTGATGATGATTATTAAGGATATCTAGAAGAACACTAAGATATACCCACTTGTATATTGATGATGATTATTAAGGATATCTAGAAGAACTCTAAGATATACCTCTTTGACCAATTCTTATTTCGGGTTAAAACGTACGTACGGGATCTAGAACGGATATCACCCACCCGACAAATCACTGTTCGACTAGGAATAGCTAAGAGCTGAATATAAAATGATGTGGCCTTAGATTAAGAATAATTTAATAGCGTTATTGATATATTGTATATCAAATGACTTAGAATAAAATATTGGGAATATTGTAAAGGTTTGAACCATATATTGTATGCATGATATCAAATGGTTGATTATGAATTGAGATGTATTTTGTTTTAAATGAGTGAAGTGATGATTCCTGGAGGCAGACGGGAGCGAGATGATTGTGGTGGACATGTTAAATGAATTAATGTTTTAAAAGACATAAAATTATGATGTTTTGTAATGGTTATATGTTTAGCTTCCGCAACATTAAACTACTCTTTTATTACCTTGGATAATTTATTATCGAATAAAGTTTTTTTTAAATGTTTGAAATATTTTGAATGTTTACGAATACCAAGTTTATACTTTAGTCTAAAAGCGGCTGCAGACCTGGACGGATTAGGGTGTTACAATTTGGTATCGGAGCAAATGGTTTTAAAACCGATCTTCGGATCAAAAATTTGTTTTAAAAAAATTAATGATGTCAATTAAATCCACGACTCTCGCATCCCTCTGCTCCAGGAAGGCAATAAAAAAAATTGAGTATTGAGATTGACTGTATTAAATTTTATAGATGTCAACTGTTAATTCGGAAATGATATCAAGTGTTGATTCAAGTCGCACTTTCGTACTTGGTAAAAGATGAAAGAACAAATGAAATGTCTATGACTCGTTGATACATTACCAACGTGCACATCGCTTCGCGAGAATAATGAAACGAAGGATTTACCTGCGCCGCAAGGCTGCATGGGAACGAGATGATCCGGAAGAAACCTTCAGCGTAGACTCTGCCAAAAGCGTATGTGGATCGGGCGTGGAAGACCCATCTGTAGACTCATCTCGATCCAACCAATCAAACACAAATATTTAGAAAATTATGTTCTTGATTGCTTCAAAACCATTGATTGTATCGACTATTATAATCCTTTACAATTCCTGTCTTAAACTCAACTACTGAATAAAAGAATCCTAATAAAGGAATTTATGTTATTGTAGAATGAGTCAAGAATCTGCCCACGGTCAAGGCAACAATGAACACGTCAGTGTTCATACTGAAGCCTCCAGCTTCACTCCTCCTGTCCACAATGAATCCAATGATCAGCAAAACGCTGGGAATAATCCAAATGCTAGTGGACAACCCGACCTTGTGATTCCCACGTTCCTGGCTAATGTGTTACAACAGATAGCCAATGAACCAATGTATCAACCACCTCCACCACTGCCACCTCGTGTGATAACCTTCAAAACGCTAAGGGATAACGGTGTAGAATTATTCCTTGGGGATCGCATCGATGAACTCCAAATTGCATGGGACTGGATCGAGCAGACTGCTCGAGTGTTGGAAGACCTTAGCGTACCCATCGGCAAATATCCCAGATTGGCTTCACAATTGCTTCGCCAGGAAGCCTACGAATGGTGGAAAAGAACCGACGAGAGTGCGGAAACCCCTAAGCCGTGGACTTGGGCACATTTTGAGTGGGCATTCAAACAAGAGTATATTCCTAAACGATTTAGCGAAGATAGACGTAAGCAATTTGTTGAACTGCAACAGGGAGATATGACACTCCTCGAATATCGCCAACTCTGGTAGGTACCCCAACCAACCGCATTGAGGAGTTTAGGAAGAAACTTCGACTTGACCTTAGGTCGCGAGTGTCTGTCCTAACCACTGTGGATTTTGCGGCGGCCTACGAAATCATAGTCAGGGCAGATAGTGACCTGAGTGCTTGCATTGAGTATCTGAAGACAAACAATGCTGGCTCAAGCACTCACCGTCCCACCGGCTCTACCTCAAAAGGGAAAATGCCCTTCCAAGAATCTAGCAGTTCGCACTTCTCAAAGAAAGGGAAATCGGTGCAGACGCACTCTGTGGCGACAAATCAAGAGGGTGGAAACACCCATTGTGCGATACATGTGGGAGACATCATCCAAGCGAGTGTTGGCTTGCCCAAGGATTATGTCTAGGTTGTGGCAAATCTGGACATTTCCGAAAGGATTGTAATGCCCCAAAACATGGTCTAAAAGTTATTCTATTATAAAAGTATTTTTAGAAACAATATTTTGACTCAACAAAACATTATTTCTATGTTTGACCAAAAATGAAAGAATTTTTGGAGTCAATGATTTTTGTTAAGATTGACTTTTATGGATAAGTCTCGAAGAGATGAATCCAACGGTATATTTTATGAATAAATCTGATGTATAGAGGTTCAGTTATGACATTTTAAATATGTAATTTGTATAAAAATGAGAAAAAGTCAAAGATGTGAACTTTTGTAAAATGATTTATTGAAATAAATATTTATATTTAATAATATTGATTAAATATGAGACTAATTTTAATTACATATCAATTAATTCAATTTTGACTCTGTCAAAGTCAACACCCAAAAATATGCTGTCAGAAAAAGTATTTCAAATAAATATAAAAATTATATCATTAAATAGAGTTTGAGTGTCTGATCGCAACAGTGTAAACAGATTTCAATTTGGATAAAGTTGGACCAAAAAGTGTACCCCAATTGAGGTAATTTAATCAAACTAAACTGGAAAGAATTAAATAGCAGCCGCCTCTTCCACTCACGGCAATCAAACGTAGGAAATGACAGGGCTTCAAATGTAACTCCCTCTCCCAGGCCTATATATAGAGCCATACATTCTTCATCATTTTCACACCAAAATTATCCCATTAGTAAAAGGAGAGTTGAGATAAGCTGTCCGGAGAGCTTCCCGTCGCCGGAGCAAGCGGTGGTGTTCGCCGGAAGTTTCGCTGTTTTTCCGCCGGAATCATCGTTTCACTTTGAAGTAAGCCCGTAGATATATCTAGTGACTAGAATGTTCGTATAGATCGTTTCTACGTTCATAAATGGTCGTTTAGTTGAGTTTTGTGTTTGACATATGTGAAAACCAAGAATCATAAACCTTGAATTTGTTGTTAAAACTTCGAATTGATGCCTCAAAAATGATCTACGAACCTTGGAGAACATTTCTATATAGTTTTATTAAAGTTTGGTGACCAAAAATGGAACTTGATAAAAATGGGTTAGAGGTTGAAGATGATGAATAGTAACCCCTTCATCTTCCTACATTTCCAACGGAACGGACGACTGTTCGGACCAACGGTCGACCGTTACGAACATTTTTAAGTCCAAAAATTCTATTTTTAAAGCTATAAAAGCCTATTTTTTTATACCAATCAATTATGATCAATATAAAAATAATTGTTAAAAATAAAAATGATGTTTTGACAAATAAAATGTTATGTGATGTATGACGGTAAGCTAAGGTGTTAACACTCGATGCTAGACCGTTATTTGTTATTGAATATTGTTAAAAATATTATTGATGTTGTTTATAATCAGACTTTGATGAATATTCTTATTAAAATAATAATTATGAATGATTAAATCATGATTAAAAATGAATATATTGATAATTATGAAATGATGTGTATTGTTAAGAGTATCTAGAAGAACTCTAAGATATACCCATTTAAATAATTGATATTAAGGTTATCTACAAGACCTCTAGAATAGAAGGGATTGTGAAAATCTGAATATTTGATAATTTGATAAATAAAAAAATGTAACGGAACATGTAGACCAAACTAGAGGATCACTCGTTTGAAAATAGTTCGACTCAATGATGATTAATTATTGTCTTGTTGTTGCCTTAAACTAAATATAGTTTAAGCGTCTCAGAATTGTTTACCTTAAACTAATTAAAGTTTAAACGTTGGAGAACTGTTGCCTTAAACTAATTATAGTTTAGGCGTCTGAGAAATATTTGCCTTAAACTAATTATAGTTTAAGCGTCTGAGAATGAAATTTTGATCTGGCCTTAGACTAAGAATAGTTAAAAGCTGGTGGTCCCAAAGTGGTGAGATACAAAGTCTAGAGGGGGGTGAATAGACTCAGGTAATTTCGAGGATGAAATTATTTTAAGGGGGAGAGAAATGTAACGCCCCGAAAATAGGCCTATCAGAATTAATTAATTGACAATTAATTAATTACTTAGAAGGACCCAAAAAAATATGTGAATTATAAAGTTTGTCAATAAATAATAAAAACTATATCGTTATGTAGAGTTTAACTGTCTGATTTCAACGGATCAATCGGATTTCAATTTGGAGAAAGTTGGACCAAAAAGTGTTCCCCGACTGGGACCAATTTAGTCCCAAACAAGGACTTACGTTTAGAATCGGAGAAGCACCGCAGCCCGCTCCACTCAGCCACCTAAACAGGGAAACTTTCATCAGCAGCATGGCCTCTTCCTCCATTTCTTCCTTATATAAGACCACCTTCACCCCTTCAATTCTCCACCATCTCATACAATCCTTATATCTATTCTGTTGCTGGAGTGAGGAGAACGCAGTGGTGCTGTCGTATTGGTGTGAGGTCGCCGGAGTTGGGAGTGATCATCGCCGGAAGTTTCGCCGGAAAATCTTCAAAACCTTTATTTACCTTCCAGGTGAGCCCGTAGATATATCTAAAGATTAGAATGTTCATATATGTTGTTTTTACGTAAATAAATGGTCATTTGGTTGAGGTTTGTGTTTGACATGTTTGAAGAACCAAGAATCATAAACCTTGAATTTGATGTTAAAACTATGTTTTAATGATTCAAAAATGATCTATGAACCTTGGAGAACATTTATATATAGTTTAATTGAAGTTTGGTAACTAAAATTGATATTTCCGAAAATGGACCGAATGAAGAAGACGATGAACAGTGACCGAAAATCGACTATTATCTTACTAAAAATCGATTAAAACTATGTTCAGACGAGATGTTTGAAGTCAGTACCCATTTATCAAGAACAAATCGATTATTCATAAAGACCAATTTGATTTTTAATATTTAATCGATTATTCCTTAAGCAAAAATCGATTTTTACTCATAAATGGTTTATTTTTAAATCAAAAATCGATTTTATTGATTCAATTGATTATTTTTCAAGCAAAAATTGATTTTATTGATTTAGTGGATTATTTTAATTATATAAATCGATTTTTATAAATTAATTGATTATTTTAAATGAAATCGATTTTCCTAAAGTTCAGATCCTGAAAATATGCTCTAAAATCATATTTTTGATATCAATTAATTATGAACAATATAAATATGAGTTTGTACAATAAAATTGATGTTTTGGCATATAAAACATTATGTGATGCATGACGGTAAGCTCAGGTGTTAACACTCGAGACTAGGCCTCTATTTGTTATCAAATGTTATGTTGAATGATCATTATGATGAATAATTATTATGGATAATTATGAATGATAAACCTACTTATTAGAATAATTATTGATGATTAAATCATGATTAAAAGTGAATAAAAATGAAAACAGTGTATATTATTAAGGATATCTAGAAGAACTCTATGATATACCCACTTGTATATTGATGATGATTATTAAGGATATCTAGAAGAACTCTAAGATATACCCACTTCTATATTTATGATGATTATTAAGGATATCTAGAGGAACTCTAAGATATACCTTCTTGACCAATTCATATTTCGGGTTAAAACGTACGTACGGGATCCAGAACGGATATCACGCACCCGACAAATCACTGTTCGGTTGGTACGTAATCCACATGACTCATAGGGTGGATTATCGATTCTTGTGTTTTGCATTAAACTATTTATAGTTTAAGGATTACTACCTTAGAGTAGGAATAGCTAAGAGTTGAATATAAAATGATGTGGCCTTAGATTAAGAATAATTTAATAGCGTTATTGATATATTGTATATCAAATGACTTAGAATAAAATATTGGGAATATTGTAAAGGTTTGAACCATATATTGTATGCATGATATCAAATGGTTGATTATGAATTGAGATTCAATTTATGTGGATGTTCGACGCTTTAGATATGCTTACGCAGCTTCACCGTTGAGCGTGTAGTGTATTTTGTTTGCTACACGCAGGTAAACAAAATGAGTGAAGTGATGATTCCTGGAGGCAGACGGGAGCGAGATGATCGTGGTGGACATGTGAAATGAATTAATATTTTAAAAGACATAAAATTATGATGTTTTGTAATGGTTATATGTTCAGCTTCTACAACATTAAACTACTATGTTATTACCTTGGATAATTTATTATCGAATAAAGTTTTCTTTTAAATGTTTGAAATATTTTGAATGTTTACGAATACCATGTTTATACTTTAGTCTGAAAGGGGATGCAGACCTTGATGGATTAGGGTGTTACACCGAGCTACTGAATGGTTCAACAAGCTTCGCCCAGGAAGCATTGATTCGTTCAGCGACTTGGCCTCAAAATTCAAGGCCAAGTTACAGGAGAATTGTACAAAGAGGAAGAAGTTCACATATCTTAATACAGCCGGTCAGAGGGAATCTGAGAACCTCACTCAATTCCTTACCCGGTGGAAAGAAGAAGTGGACAAGGTTGAAGAGATGGATGACAAGATAGTCTTGTCTCTCCTCTTGAATGGCTTACGTGCTGGGGAACTATACAAGGAGTTCTGCCGGAAACCCCCGGCCACGTATCAAGAAGCCAACCACACGGCATGGGAATTCGCGGACGCTGAAACCCAACTCCGGGCAAAGAAAGAGGCTGAGTACGGGTTCAAGCCCAAGCTAGTGCAAATCAAGAAGGAAGAGGCACCAAGACCTAGCCGGCCGAGGCATCATTATGACCCGGTCATCCGTGTGGTCAATACTGAAGAGTGCCAGGAAATAAGGAAAGCACCAGTCAATCCTCCGGTAAATCCTACCGGTCAACCGGGACGACAATGGTCGGACACATATTGTTCGTACCATAGGTTAGATTCCCATAACACTTCAGAATGCAAAAGTGTTAAAGGAATCATCTGGCAGATTATTGACAGTGGAGAATTGGGCAAGGATTATTTGCAAAAAGCCCAGGAGAAGAATCACCAATGGATCAGGCTGGCGGCCCAGGGGAATGACCGGGATGATAACCAACGAAGGAATAACCGGCAGAGAGAGCAGCAGCCTGCCCCCGACAAAGAGCACATTGGAATGATCTTTGGCGGACCTGAAGATGGAGATTCGGCCGCACAGTAAAAGAACTGGGTCCGCAGCATTTACATCGGAGAGGTAACTGCTGACCCGGTAAGGCGAAAACAAACGAGAAGGGAACCGATCGTCTTCACCGAGCGGGACCTTCCAGCTACCGGTGATGACCATAATGATCCTTTGGTCATCACCATGGACATTAATGGGGTGGATGTCGCTTGGATACTAGTTGACTTTGGCAGCAGTGTCAACATTGTTGGCCATGTGTGCATCAATTGTCCCGTGGTGGAGGCTATGTGGGCCAAGTCACAATCGAATGTCGTGGGCGCTTGTGTGGTGAATGCACTATAAGGCTAGGTTATGCGCCTCTTCTAACACCAATTGGTTTTAGAAGAGTTGGTAGTGCCTGAGGTCCTACAAGTGGTATCAAAGCCAAGGTCACGAGTTCGATTCCCAGCGGGAGCAATTGCTGAGGGGGAGATTGTTGGCCATGTGTGCATCAATTGTCCCGTGGTGGAGGCTATGTGGGCCAAGTCACAATTTAATGTGGTGGGCACTTGTGTGGTGAATGCCCTATAAGGCTAGGGTATGCGCCTCTTCTAACACCAGTTGGTTTTAAAAGAGTTGGTAGCACCTGAGGTCCTACAAACATTCTGTACTTGGAGACTTTCCAAAAACTCAAGTTGTGTCGGACACAACTTGAACCCCTGAAAACTCCTCTTTCAGGTTCCACAGGAGACACCGTGAAAGCTGAAGGGTCAATAGTCTTACCGGTCGAACTAGGGTCGGGAGATAAGACCGTATGGAAAAAGATGCGGTTCATCGTTGTGGACATCAAATGCGTCCATGACGCAATTCTGGGAAGACCGGGCATCAACAAAGTGTGGGCGGTAATTTCCATGCCCCACCTATGCATGAAATTCCACACACCGGGTGGTGTGGGAGAAGTTCGGAGCGACCAGAGGAATGCCCGTGAGTGTTATGCCCGGGCGGTGAAGAAGATGACGAAGGGGGTCAACGTCATCTCCCAAGAAATCACAAAGGGAGAGACCCGGGAGAAACTGGAGCCCGAGGCTGAGACGGTGGAGATCGAACTCCACCCGGGTGATCCTTCAAGGATGGTCAGAATTGGAGCAAATCTCCCAGAGGACCTTAAGGTGGAGATAACCCAGGTCCTCTAAGAATATGCAAGCATATTCGCATGGAGCGTAGCGAATATGCCTGGGATTGACCGCTCCGTCATTTGCCACCAGTTGGCAGTGAGGGATGGAAGTCGACCGGTACGCCAGAAGAAGAGGTACCTAGCCAGCGAGCGTCAAGACTTCGTCCGCAAGGAGGTAAAGGACCTCCTCAGCGTTGGTCACATCCGGGAAGTCAAATACCCGGATTGGTTGGCCAACGTGGTCCTTGCCCCCAAGGGCAACACGTGGAGGATGTGTGTGGATTACACGGACTTAAACAAGGCTTGTCCGATTGACTCATACCCCTTTCCTAGACCTGATCAAATAATGGACGAAACTGCGGGGTGCGAACTCCTAAAATTCATGGATGCCTTCAAGGAATACCACCAAATCTACATGGCCAATTAAGATGAGGAGAAAACGTCATTCCTCACACCCGAAGGACCATACTGTTACCGAGTGAAGGTGTTCGACTTGAAAACTCAGGAGCCACTTACCAGCGCATGGTAAATAAGCTTTTCAAGCCACTGCTTAGGAAGACCATGGAGGCATACATCGACGACATGCTGGTCAAAAGCCAGACATCTCTCAACCACCTAGCTGACATGCATGTGACATTCGATATTATGGCAAGATACAACCTCTAGTTAAATCCCAAGAAATGCGTCTTCGCGGTTCGTACCAGGAAGTTCTTGGGATTCATGGTGACCAAAAGGGGCATAGAGCCCAACCCAGAAAAAATTCGGGCTATCACCGAGATGCACGCCCTTACCTCGGTTAGGGACGTGCAAAAACTGACCAAGCGCCTGGAAGCCCTCAACAGATTTTTCTCCCGGTCAGCGGAGAGGTCCCTACCTTTCTTGAAGAAGGCCAACACGTTTACCTGGGATGAAGACTGCCAGAAGGCATTTGAAAAACTAAAGGAGTACCTAGTGTTGGATATTGTATTGTCAAAACCCGAACCGGGTGAAACTTTGTATCTGTACCTAGGGTTTTCCCCAAATGCTATAAGCTCCGTTTTAATAAGAGATGATGGGGCACAAAAGCCCATTTATTATGTGAGCAAAGCATTAAACGGAGAAGAAAGTAGATACATGGCGATTGAAAAGATAGCATATGCACTTTTCATCTCCACCAAGAAGTTAACATCATACTTCCAAGCTCACCCGGTTGAAGTCTTGCGAAATTCAACATTGAGTACTGGCCAAGATCTGCAATCAAAGGACAAGCCCTTGCAGATTTTCTGGTGGAAATGACCGGTCTAACTCCACACTTGCCGGTCAATCAACCTATCGAGCAATGGTGGGAGATGGCCGTAGATGGGGAGTCTGGTCCTAAAGGGTACGGGGGTGGCATAGTGTTTACCACTCCAGAAGGATTCAAGATCTACCATGCGCTCGTCTTCAACTTCAAATTGACAAACAATGAAGTAGAATATGAAGCTCTTGCTGGAGGACTTCGACTCGCACAAGCACTTAAAATCAACCGGGTCAATATAATATCTGACTCTAATATGATTGTTGGGCAAGTGACCGGCAACATGGAATCAAGGGAAGGACGAATGGCGCAGTACAAGGATATGGTGCTAGCCTTGTTGAAGGGCTTCGTAGAATTCGAGATCGACCAGATTCCCCGGGCAAAAAACGCAGATGCACACCTTCTCTCCAAATTGACGCAGTATGCCCTCGAACATGTTTCAAAACTTGCTCGGGTGGAAATTCTTGACCGTGCTAGCATCGAGAAACTAGAAGCCGCCACTATCGAGGGACAACTTGACCAGTCAACCTCCAACACGGTTAGAGTAGACGATCACTGGATGGACGATCTTTTAAAATACTTGACAGACAGAAGCTTACCAGCACAAGATGACCGGGTGCGAAAAGTCAAGCTCAGGGCACCTCGGTTCCAAGTCATTGGCGGGATGCTATATAAAAGGGCATTCGGGGGACCACTCTTGCGATGCCTGACCAACCGGGAGGCTGAAAGAGTCATCGCGGAAGTCCATGAAAGGGTGTGCACGGCACATCAAATGTCCCGTACTCTATCCCAGCGCATCATCCTGTTGGGGTATTATTGGCCAACAATAGTCCAGGACTGTGAGAGATACGTTCAAAAGTGCAGAACATGCCAAGTCTTCTACAAATATCCTGGTAGATCGGCAAACTACTATCATCCCGTGTCGAACGTCATCTCATTTGCTAGATTCGGAGTTGATATCATCGGAGCGTTCCCAATAGCTTAAGGAAGGAAAAAGTTCGTAATCGTAGCCATCGATTATTTCACCAAATGGATCGAAGCCGAAGCGTTAGCCAACATCACCACGCAACAATGCAAGAAGTTCATTTGGAAGAACATCATCACGAGGTTTGGAGCTCCCATAAATCTCATCACCGACAACGGCCCGCAATTCAGAAATCCAAAGTTTACTGAACACTTGGAGGGCTTTGGAATCAAACACAATAGCTCTTCGGTGGCGTACCCCCAAGGCACCGACAACGGCCCGCAATTCTTGATTTTTATTTAATCATAGACCACTTTTGATAAAACGGTTTGTCAAAACAATTTCGTTTAAATTCTATGAAATCAAAATCCAATGATTTTATTAAACAATTCATCAGTAGTGTTTTTTTAATAAAAAGAATATTTGTTGTCACATGGTTAGGTAGACAAAATTAATTTATCAAATTATTTGGCATACAAAAGTACAAAACAATTCGTATAGATATTTTAGACAAGATCTAAGGGTTGCATAAACATTTTTTTGTAAACTACGGAGTATTTTGCCTTAAATAATCTCATCGTACAAAGACTTTTCAATTTTTTCTAAAACATGTTTCAACATATATTGTTTTTGTTCGAAAAAAAAAATAACGACTCATAATGATAGTTTGATTCAAATATCTTCTTAAGAACAAAAATATTGATTAACATTATTTATTCACCAAGTGGCTCAAAAAATCAATTTAATTTTAAAATAAATTTCAAAGATCACTATTACATTTTTTATAGATGCTTATAACATTTTTTTTATCTCATAATTGTTTCAAAAACATTTCTATAATGATATTGTACAATTAAAACAACATTCTTTTATCAAAGTCTCTATTAGAGGGAAAACTTTCAATTAAAATAACACATAATCTTGGAGAAAAATTCTTTTCTCGACATGGAGAAAAATTCTTTTCTCTATAGTGTGTAATAATAGTTTACACAATATTTTTTGAAATAATTTTTTATAGAAAATTTCATAATGACATTTCGCAAACAAACACTTCAATTTTTTTTAAATTATTTAATTCTTTGCAAGAATTCAATGTATCAATGTTCAAAATCAACTAGTATATACTTTTGTATAACCAACTTTCATTTGTAAAATATGTCACAATTTTTTTTAATAATCTCTAACAATGTCAATATCTTCTAATTTTTCTAAACAATAACATATTTTCATACAACACAATAATTTATCACCTTCCTGGAGCTGAGATGAAGTGGAGGATGCGGATGCACAATTTTGAAAACAATTTAGTCAAATGGTCCGAAAACCAATTTTAAAACCATTTGCTCCAATACCGAATTGTAACACCCTAATTCGTCTAGGTCTGCAGCCCCTTTTGGACTAAAATATTAACTTGGTAACGTAAAAATTTCAAACATTTAAAAACTTTATTTCAAAAATTGTACTAAATATTTCATAATAACATCAGAGTAAAATTATTTAAAATAGTGTGGAAGCGATTTGCCAATTAGAAGAGTATGGTCAACCATGTGATAAAATCATTTACTTAAATAGTAGATTTGTGCATGTCCACGCATCACCTCCATCTCAGTAATCTCCAGAATAGGCTCCACATTTATTCTTTCTCATACCTACGTGTAGAAAGATGAAAAAGTCTACACGCTCAGCAATGAAGCTAAGTGGTACCATGGCACAACAAAAGAATTCAAAGAATAATTTTCTTAAACAATACCAATCATATATGTTCAAATATTTCTTTTTCATATTTAAATTCGTCTTTGTTATTTTAACAAGGATAATGAACATAGTCAATTCTTAATTATCATCATTCAAATTTATGTAGTAATTAGTCCATAATTCAAAATAATCACATGTCACTTTTGTTATCACAATATTCATCATTTGTTACACTTAATTTCATATCAAATTATCACAATTTGCTCCTAACTTATTCTAAGTTAAGGCTAAATCATATCAATGCTCTTAAACTATTTCTAGTCTAAGTCAAATTAATATTGATAACATAGATCTTAAACTATGACTAGTCTAAGGCAATATTTCTAACCAGACCATTAAACTATAAATAGTTTAATGCAGAACACAAGAATCGATAATCCACCCTACGAGTCATGTGGATTACGTATAGTACCAACCGAATAGTGAACTAACGGGCAGGTGATATCCGGTCTGGATCCCGTAAGTACGTTTTAACCCCGAATTATGAATTGGTCAAGGAGGTATATCTTAGAGTTCTTCTAGATATTCTTAATAATCATCATCAATTTCCAAGTGAGTATATCTTAGAGTTCTTCTAGATATCCTTAACAATACACATCATTCTCATAATTATCAATATATTCATTTTTAATCATGATTCAATCATTCATAATTATTATTTTAATAAGAATATTCATCAAAGTCTGATCATAAACAACATCAATAATAATCATCATAATATCAATAACAAATAGCGGCCTAGCGTCGAGTGTTAACACCTAGCTTATCGCCATACATCATATAAGGTTCTTTAGTAGTCCAGACTTCATTTTTTTACTCTGAGAAATTGTATTTTTATCGATGTATCAAAAATAGGATTTTATATCTTCAAAAATAGCATTTTTGGACTTAAAATGTTCGCAACGGAAATGTTCGTACCGCTCTGAAAAACACCGGAAAAATGGAGTTACTATTCATCATCTTCAACCTTCGATCCAATTTCTCAAAACACCATAAAATCTTCTAAGCTTTAAACTAACTTCATAAAAAAGTTTTCTCACATCCATAGATCACTCACAAACAATTTATTTGAAGCTTTAACAACAAAACAATTTTTGTGGTTATAAATATCAAAATATTTATATTTTCAAATATATATGAATCAATAAGTTCAAGGATCATTCTAATGCCTTCTAAAGTTGTTTAAAATCATGGTAGCAACCTGGAAATCGATGAGACGAAGCTCAACGAACGAACGGGAGCGAAAACAACGTCGGAAATCACAAAACCCGTCACTTCCGTCACCACTATACCAGCCCCGGTTTTCGGGCCATATCTCCTTCGTTACTGAACGAAATCGCGAACCGTTTGAAGCTACGGATTTGTAAGACATAAGGCTACAACTTTCGTTTAGAAATTAGATTAAAATAACGACGTTTAAGGGGTGTAAAAATGCTCACAAGTGGGCTGATTTGCACAGGGATGTTTTCTTCATTCAACTTTCCGGGGCAACTTCCGGCAAGAACTGTGGCTACCTCCGGTGACTTTAACACCGGCGATCACTTGTGAATTGTTCTCCACACAAGAAGGAGTAGAATAGGAGAAGAATGAAAGAGTTTGGTGGTTAGATGAAGGAGAAATTGGTACCACATTTATAGGAAAGAAGGGGACGAAGATGATGAAGGAAGAGCACATCATGCTACTGTTTGGGCGGCTGAGTGCGATCCTCAATTTGGGCTGATTTTATACGCCTCTCTAATGCTCTATCTGATTGGGACTAAAATGATTTAAGTTGGGGTATGCTTTTTGGTCCAACTTTGTTCAAATTGAAATCTGATTGTACCGTTACGATCAGAGTGTCATGCTTTACGCGACAATATAATTTTCACATTTTTTTGGAATACTATTTCTGACACCATATTTTTGGGTGTTGACTTTGACAAAGTCAAATTGATCTAATTGATATATCATTAAAAATACTCTCATATTCAATCAATATTCTTCAATTTAAATAGTTTATTTCAATAAATCATTTTACAAAATTTCACATCTTTAACCACTTCTCATTTTTGTGCAAATTACATATTTAAAATATAAAATTACATATTTAAAATATCACAACTCAAAATCTGTACATCAAATTTATTCATAAAATATACCGTTGGATTCGTCTCTTTGAGACATCCATAAAACTCAATTTTAACAAAAAAATCATTGACTCCAAAATTTCTTTAATTTTTGGTCAAACATAGAGATAATATTTTGTTGGGTCAAAATATTCTTTTGAAATTCTTTTATCATAAAATAACTTTTAGACCATGTTTTGGGGCGTTACATAGCTTCCCGGTCTCGTTTTTGCCCGGACATAAACCCGAAGGAGCCAATCTGGGTTATCATGTCCTTCCCAAGGGGCTCCCGGTAGATCAGCTTGAAAGCCTCCACCATTCTCTCTTGGTCAGATGTGATCACCCGGGCAGCCTCCTCCAGGTTTTCCCCCATCTATTGGCGGGCTCTACCGGGGAACTCCCACTCCTTCTGCTCCGAGTCCTCCGTTAGCTGGGAAACCTCCTCCATCAGCTGCGAGTTCTCCTCCTTCAGCTGGAGGATCTCTGTGTTCGCCTTCACGGTCGCCTTTGAAAGGTTGGCCATCTCATCAAGCTACCGGGCCGTTAATTCCTGAAGCTCCCAGTTATGGGCCTCGGCCCTCTTCAGCTTCTCCTCCAGCTGAGATGACCGGGAAGGAGAGTCCTCAGAGAGCTGCAACACGGTGTCGGGCCCAACCTTGCCAATCTGCAAAGCAGAATGTAAATGAGTTAGTATGGGTAAATGAACAATAAAGAAAAGAGGGTGCACCGGTTAGAATTTACCTCTTTCAGCTTGAGTCCCATCTTGACCCAGAGTTCTCCCAAAGAGTCGGCGGCCGGCCCACTTTCTCCCCTTTTCCTCTTGCCCGCTGGATGGGTGGTGGCCGCATGCTTTGTCCTCGTTTTCCCTTTCTCTTTGTTGGAAGGAGGATTCACCGGGACTCTCCCGGTCTAAGGAGCCTCCCCGGTCTAAGGAGTTTCCTCCTCAGAATGGATATCAACAGTCTCCTGTTGGACCGGGACAGTCTTCAAAGAAGAGGGGTGCGGGCCAGCAAAAGAAGACACACCGGTCTTCTTAGGAATGTTGAAGGATCTGAAGTTCATGTCTGCAAAACAAGCAAAAAATATAAGTATTGCGAATAACACCGATACAAATGAAGAAAGTGAAATAGTAATGAAGGATACATGGGTGACTCTGGCCCTCAGCCTCTGCAGTGTTGCCTGGGAGGGAACTCCGTGC